ACGCGGGGACGGGTCTGCATGCGGGGGGCCATCCTGAGAACGTATGTCTGCAACATCGTCTTCAAGGCTCTCTTAGAAGTGGGCTTCATTGTGGGCCAGTACGCCTTGTATGGGTTCCAGCTGAAGCCCCTCTACACCTGCAGCCGCTGGCCCTGTCCCAACACAGTCAACTGCTACATCTCCCGGCCCACCGAGAAGACCATCTTCATCCTCTTCATGCTGGGGGTGGCCTGCGTGTCCCTGCTGCTCAACCTGGTGGAGATCTACCACCTGGGTCTCACCAAGTGCCAGCAGGAGCCAGGCCCCAAGTCCCGCACCCTGCCCAGTCCTGGTGGCCCTGCAGGGCCTCGCAGCACCTGCATCACCCTCCCCAGCAGTGGCAGCCCCATGGCTGGTTGGAGGCCCGGCCCCATGGCTGCTGGCAGACCCCCCCAATGCCTGGCACCCCTGGGGAGGGCGAGTGCATGGCTGGGGGTGGCCAGTGGGTCCCATGGGAAGGCACGAGCTGCAGACCTGGCAGTGTGAACATGGCCTGCTGAGATGCTCAGGGATGGGTGATGCATGGGTGGCCACAGTTGTGGTCTCCAGGCCCTGCCAGGCTCGTGACATGGACTCCAAAACCAGTGCAAGAGATGGGCATGGCCTTGGGGACACGGCTTGGCTGCTCCCTGCACTCCTGGGAGCAGCAGGGCTGAGAGTAAGGCTGGGCTGGGGCAGGGGCCTGTCAGCCCTGGGGGAGCAAATAAACACCCACTGCACCTCACTCGACTCCTGCTCTGCCCATGGGCACCATGGCATCGTGCTCTGACTGGTCTGTCCCATGGATACACTGCGTGGCCAGGGCAGGGTTGCTGCTGGGTGGGTTGGGCTGCAGCCCTATGGGCAAAGGACAGGTAGGGCATGCCTGGCTGGCACCAGTGGGCACAGGGTCAGAGGCCATCCCAGCATGCCAGAGCTGGAAGCATACCAGGAGCCAGACAAGGTAGGAAGCGCAGGCAGCACAGGCAGGCAGGGGAGGACCAGAGGGAGCAGGGTAGAG